CCATTGTCTCCTCTACAACACCTATAAAGTCGTTGCCAGTCACAATCTCTTGAAATTGGTCCAAAATTAACTTCAATTGGCCTACCCCCCTAATCTCATTTTGTCAATTTCATAATTTCAGTTTTTTAACCGTAACTTCAGATTTTCGAACAAAAACCACTCTGGAGATTTTCTTAAACGATCCGCCAATGTCTCCTCTACAACACCTATATAGTCGTTGACCGTCACAATCTCTTTAAAATGGTCCAAATTTTTCTTTTAGTGCCCTTCCCCCTAATCTCATTTTGTCAATTTCACAATAAAATTTTCAGTTTTTTAACCGTAACTTCAGATTTTCGAACATAAACCACTCTGGAGATCTTCTTAATCGACGGGCCATTTTCTCCTCTACAACACCTATATAGTCGTTGCCCGTCACAATCTCTTGAAATTGGTCCAAAACTAGCTTTAATTGGCCTACCCCTCTAATCTCATTTTGTCAATTTCACAATTTCAGTTTTTTAACCGTAACTTCAGATTTTCGAACATAAACCACTCTGGAGATTTTCTTAAACGATGAGCCATTGTCTCCTCTACAACACCTATAAAGTCGTTGCCAGTCACAATCTCTTGAAATTGGTCCAAAATTAACTTCAATTGGCCTACCCCCCTAATCTCATTTTGTCAATTTCATAATTTCAGTTTTTTAACCGTAACTTCAGATTTTCGAACAAAAACCACTCTGGAGATTTTCTTAAACGATCCGCCAATGTCTCCTCTACAACACCTATATAGTCGTTGACCGTCACAATCTCTTTAAAATGGTCCAAATTTTTCTTTTAGTGCCCTTCCCCCTAATCTCATTTTGTCAATTTCACAATAAAATTTTCAGTTTTTTAACCGTAACTTCAGATTTTCGAACATAAACCACTCTGGAGATTTTCTTAATCGACGGGCCATTTTCTCTTCTACAACACCTATATAGTCGTTGCCCGTCACAATCTCTTGAAATTGGTCCAAAACTAGCTTTAATTGGCCTACCCCTCTAATCTCATTTTGTCAATTTCACAATTTCAGTTTTTTAACCGTAACTTCAGATTTTCGAACATAAACCACTCTGGAGATTTTCTTAAACGATGAGCCATTGTCTCCTCTACAACACCTATAAAGTCGTTGCCAGTCACAATCTCTTGAAATTGGTCCAAAATTAACTTCAATTGGCCTACCCCCCTAATCTCATTTTGTCAATTTCATAATTTCAGTTTTTTAACCGTAACTTCAGATTTGCGAACAAAAACCACTCTGGAGATTTTCTTAAACGATCCGCCAATGTCTCCTCTACAACACCTATATAGTCGTTGACCGTCACAATCTCTTTAAAATGGTCCAAATTTTTCTTTTAGTGCCCTACCCCCTAATCTCATTTTGTCAATTTCACAATAAAATTTTCAGTTTTTTAACCGTAACTTCAGATTTTCGAACATAAACCACTCTGGCGATTTTCTTAAACAATGCGCCATTGTCTCCTCTACAACACCTATATAGTCGTTGCCCGTCACAATCTCTTGAAATTGGTCCAAAATTAACGTCAATTGGCCTACCCCCCTAATTTCATTTTGTCAATTTCACAATTTCAGTTTTTTAACCGTCACTTCAGATTTTCTAACATAAACCACTCTGGAGATTTTCTTAAACGATGCGCCAATGTCTCCTCTACAACACCTATAAAGTTGTTGCCGTCACAATCTCTTTAAAATGGTCCAAATTTTTCTTTTAGTGCCTTACCCCCCTAATCTCATATTGTCAATTTCACAATAAAATTTTCAGTTTTTTAACCGTAACTTCAGATTTTCGAACATAAACCACTCTGGAGATTTTCCTAAACGATGCGCCAATGTCTCCTCTACAACACCTATATAGTCGTTGCCCGTCACAATCTCTTGAAATTGGTCCAAAATTAACTTAAATTGGCCTACCCCCCTAATCTCACTTTGTCAATTTCACAATTTCCGTTTTTTAACCCTATATTCAGATTTTCGAACATAAACCGCTCTGGAGATTTTCTTAAACGATGCGCCAATGTCTCCTCTACAACACCTATATAGTCGTTGACCGTCACAATCTCTTTAAAATGGTCCAAATTTTTCTTTTAGTGCCCTACCCCCTAATCTCATTTTGTCAATTTCATAATCAAATTTTCAGTTTTTTAACCGTAACTTCAGATTTTCGAACATAAACCACTCTGGCGATTTTCTTAAACGATGCGCCATTGTCTCCTCTACAACACCTATATAGTCGTTGCCCGTCACAACTCTTGAAATTGGTCCAAAATTAACTTCAATTGGCCTACCCCCCTAATTTCATTTTGTCAATTTCACAATTTCAGTTTTTTAACCGTCACTTCAGATTTTCTAACATAAACCGCTCTGGAGATTTTCTTAAACGATGCGCCAATGTCTCCTCTACAACACCTATATAGTCGTTGACCGTCACAATCTCTTTAAAATGGTCCAAATTTTTCTTTTACTGCGCGTTTAGCTTTAGAAAATAAACTATTGGATGGACAAACATTTTCTTTCACTATACTCTAGTTTGCTGTGAATAAACTAAAACTGGAACGATACAGAGAAGAGCAGCATGGCGCATGGCGCACGCCAAGAAATCCGTGAATCACTTTCTTTATAGTGGACTTGACAAACTTCTGCAACTGCCTATTCCCCTTAACTAGACCTAAGCTCATAATAGTAATTTCTTTTGTGAATTTTATTCATGTGGCCTTTTCTATATTATGCTCTATTCAATAGAGTGTGCACTCTAAAAATGTGTTTAGAGCCTAAACACTTTCCTAAACACATTTATGAAACCGATTTTTGACATGTTTTCAATCTAAACATGTATAATATTTAATGTGCTAACAGCCTAAACGTGTCAAGCTATAAAGTGCTTAGACTGTAATCATGTTTAGCTGTAAAGCGTTTAGACTAGAAACACGTTTAGCTAAAAAGTGCTTAGACTGTTAACATGTTTAGTTGTGAATTGTTTTATCTGGAAACATGTTTAGCTGAGAATTGGTTTGTCTGGAAACACGTTTAGCTGTGAAGTGTTTTGAATGTAAACATGTTTAGACCATAAAGGGTCGTGAAGAAACATGTTTATCATTTTATTGTGAGAAGCCGTTACTTCATTAGGCCCCAATTAAACTAATATTCCGAAAGGCTTGACTGTAAAACGTATGATAGCTCTCAATAAAACAGGTTTTCATACCATCACAAAAAGGAGCCAATGCATCAAACTAAGAAACTGGAATTTCCATATCAAATTGAATGTGACCAATACCTTTTCAATCTCAATGAGTTTTTTTCTTTAATTCAATTCACGTCATTCGACTATTGCATTTTTTCTTCATTTCAAATATTCGTAAAACAGTCTAGAACTTTTGAAATGAAATTATCATTATACTAATTCTAGCTTTAAAAACAAAATTACAACATATAAAACAAAGGAATTTATATTATCATTTATTTCCAGTTTATCATTGAACACAATCAAAAATAAATTCATATCAAGGTACATGCATTGACCAATCTTCTACTTGTACCCCATCCCTACAACAAAACAATTTGAAAATGTCCTGTTTTCATTTTACAGGTCAATAAGAGCTTCTCCTTTCTTAGTACCCAACTGCTGGTCAATGGCCTGAAATATAGAAAAATATTGATAAGTAACTAAGTAGAATTAATCTAAAAATATAAGAATACGAACTACAACACCAAAAAGTAAAAGCAGGATTTAAGATCCAGATAACAACATTAGGACCGTGGTATAAAAACATAAATTTACTGATGAATCAATTGATATTTTTTAATATAAAACTTCTTTTCATGCTTAATATTATTCATTTGATCAAATATATATTGGCATTTTTAAAATCAAATACACTTTTGATTCTTACCTAGCAGCATATTTGCTACTGTTCTTTATCTCCTCTTTTAGCATGCCAAGACAGATGATGATTTCCTCTGCACTTCTCTCATCTAGAAAAAAAACAATACATATCAATAAAATTATAAAAAAAATCACAACCGCTTATAACTATTGAAATAAACAAGCATCTTTCTATTTATTTTGAGGAAATGTTGATTGTGCATATCGGAAGTGCTTACGAAAACAATGAACTCGATATGACACTGGATTTGCGAATGATGCACCTCATCCTGATAAGACTCGGCAGATTCCGCTACCCTTCATGTTCCATTATAATCTGCCGAGGAGTACCGAACGAAAATTATCCTCACAAACTCCTTTCCAAGAACATATATAAATAAAAAAATAAATGCAAACTTGCATGATAGAACATTAAACAACTCTTATCATCTATACACAAGATAGTTTGAACACTTAAAGCTCTTACAAGCACTTGTTTCGTGGATTGGTACCCCCTTTTCTCTCCTGCATTGACTATACGGTAGTGTACTTGTAAATAATGCTTATGACTGTCAATAATCATTTAAAATTGGCAGTACAAAATAAAAGACAGTATAATCATAACTCCTTACCTTTCTGAAACAGTCAAGTTACGGTCAGTTATGGTCAGAAGTAAACAGCGTGGCCTTTGACTTCGGGTTCTTTGTTTCTTCTTCCCGCTCAAAAATTAGCACGTGATATGAATGCCGTATTCGGCCTAAATGTGTTGTAATTCTAAACGTGTTTAGGAAAGTGTCTAAATATTGAAAGTGCTTAGAATTTAAACACGTTTAGCTTTATATACTTGACAAAGTAGCTAAACATGTTTAGCACAGCAACATATTTATTGAAAAGTGCCGAGAGCCAAAACATGTTTATTGCGAAGTGCTGAGAGCCAAAACATGTTTATTTTTTTATATTTAGAAATTAAAAACTTTCCTAAGCACATAAGTCTTGCAACACGTTTAAATTCTAAGCACAATTTTTACAGTGTGATAGAAAATTTATAGCGATGAAAAGAGGGGTGGAGCAAGCTGGATTTTTCAAATTGTTTATGTTACCCACATAATGTGGGTGTAGAGAAATTGTCTATAGACTCGTTAATCGTTCCTCTCCACGGATATCTTTAGTAAAAGGCGAAAGATATATTCGTGGTTTGAAGAGAAACCAGAGTAACTCAACATGTTTTAACAATAAGTATACTACATAATATAAATATTTTCTGAGACAAGGTGTTTGCCGAAATATACTTTTTGCAAATATCACTAAATTCTACTCAATAAGTGTCTACAAATGCTACATATATGTCGTAGAACCAAGTTTTCTAATTTTGAATTTGACAGATTTTTCATATTTTTTTCTGTAGAAACATGATCATATTACAACCGAATGGAGCCAAAGCGATGTACACACACAGTATAACGATTATACAACGTATGCGTAATGAAAAAATATATGTCGCTTTGTCAAAGCACGGCACGTTTAGCTTTAGAAAATAAACTATTGGATGGACAAACATTTTCTTTCACTATACTCTAGTTTGCTGTAAATAAACTAAAACTGGAACGATACAGAGAAGAGAAGAGCAGCATGGCGCATGGCGCACGCCAAGAAATCCGTGAATCACTTTCTTTATATTGGACTTGACAAACTTCTGCAACTGCCTATTCCCCTTAACTAGACCTAAGCTCATAATAGTAATTTCTTTTGTGAATTTTATTCATGTGGCCTTTTCTATATTATGCTCTATTCAATAAAATGTGATAGAAAATTTATAGCGATGAAAAGAGGGGTGGAGCAAGCTGGATTTTTCTAATTGTTTATGTTACCCACATAATGTGGGTGTAGAGAAATTGTCTATAGACTCGTTAATCGTTCCTCTCCACGGATATCCCTAGTAAAAGGCGAAAGATATATTCGTGGTTTGAAGAGAAACCAGAGTAACTCAACATGTTTAAACAATAAGTATACTACATAATATAAATATTTTCTGAGACAAGGTGTTTGCCGAAATATACTTTTTGCAAATATCACTAAATTCTACTCAATAAGTGTCTACAAATGCTACATATATGTCGTACAACCAAGTTTTCTAATTTTGAATTTGACAGATTTTTCATATTTTTTTCTGTAGAAACATGATCATATTACAACCGAATGGAGCCAAAGCGATGTACACACACAGTATAACGATTATACAACGTATGCGTAATGAAAAAATATATGTCGCTTTGTCAAAGCACGGCACGTTTAGCTTTAGAAAATAAACTATTGGATGGACAAACATTTTCTTTCACTATACTCTAGTTTGCTGTAAATAAACTAAAACTGGAACGATACAGAGAAGAGAAGAGCAGCATGGCGCATGGCGCACGCCAAGAAATCCGTGAATCACTTTCTTTATATTGGACTTGACAAACTTCTGCAACTGCCTATTCCCCTTAACTAGACCTAAGCTCATAATAGTAGTTTCTTTTGTGAATTTTATTCATGTGGCCTTTTCTATATTATGCTCTATTCAATAGAGTGTGATAGAAAATTTATAGCGATGAAAAGAGGGGTGGAGCAAGTTGGATTTTTCAAATTGTTTATGTTACCCACATAATGTGGGTGTAGAGAAATTGTCTATAGACTCGTTAATCGTTCCTCTCCACGAATATCTTTAGTAAAAGGCGAAAGATATATTCGTGGTTTGAAGAGAAACCAGAGTAACTCAACATGTTTTAACAATAAGTATACTACATAATATAAATATTTTCTGAGACAAGGTGTTTGCCGAAATATACTTTTTGCAAATATCACTAAATTCTACTCAATAAGTGTCTACAAATGCTACATATATGTCGTAGAACCAAGTTTTCTAATTTTGAATTTGACAGATTTTTCATATTTTTTTCTGTAGAAACATGATCATATTACAACCGAATGGAGCCAAAGCGATGTACACACACAGTATAACGATTATACAACTTATGCGTAATGAAAAAATATATGTCGCTTTGTCAAAGCACGGCACGTTTAGCTTTAGAAAATAAACTATTGGATGGACAAACATTTTCTTTCACTATACTCTAGTTTGCTGTAAATAAACTAAAACTGGAACGATACAGAGAAGAGAAGAGCAGCATGGCGCATGGCGTACGCCAAGAAATCCGTGAATCACTTTCTTTATATTGGACTTGACAAACTTCTGCAACTGCCTATTCCCCTTAACTAGACCTAAGCTCATAATAGTAATTTCTTTTGTGAATTTTATTCATGTGGCCTTTTCTATATTATGCTCTATTCAATAGAGTGTGATAGAAAATTTATAGCGATGAAAAGAGGGGTGGAGCAAGCTGGATTTTTCAAATTGTTTATTTTACCCACATAATGTGGGTGTAGAGAAATTGTCTATAGACTCGTTAATCGTTCCTCTCCACGGATATCTTTAGTAAAAGGCGAAAGATATATTCGTGGTTTGAAGAGAAACCAGAGTAACTCAACATGTTTTAACAATAAGTATACTACATAATATAAATATTTTCTGAGACAAGGTGTTTGCCGAAATATACTTTTTGCAAATATCACTAAATTCTACTCAATAAGTGTCTACAAATGCTACATATATGTCGTAGAACCAAGTTTTCTAATTTTGAATTTGACAGATTTTTCATATTTTTTTCTGTAGAAACATGATCATATTACAACCGAATGGAGCCAAAGCGATGTACACACACAGTATAACGATTATACAACGTATGCGTAATGAAAAAATATATGTCGCTTTGTCAAAGCACGGCACGTTTAGCTTTAGAAAATAAACTATTGGATGGACAAACATTTTCTTTCACTATACTCTAGTTTGCTGTAAATAAACTAAAACTGGAACGATACAGAGAAGAGAAGAGCAGCATGGCGCATGGCGCACGCCAAGAAATCCGTGAATCACTTTCTTTATATTGGACTTGACAAAATTCTGCAACTGCCTATTCCCCTTAACTAGACCTAAGCTCATAATAGTAATTTCTTTTGTGAATTTTATTCATGTGGCCTTTTCTATATTATGCTCTATTCAATAGAGTGTGATAGAAAATTTATAGCGATGAAAAGAGGGGTGGAGCAAGTTGGATTTTTCAAATTGTTTATGTTACCCACATAATGTGGGTGTAGAGAAATTGTCTATAGACTCGTTAATCGTTCCTCTCCACGGATATCTTTAGTAAAAGGCGAAAGATATATTCGTGGTTTGAAGAGAAACCAGAGTAACTCAACATGTTTTAACAATAAGTATACTACATAATATAAATATTTTCTGAGACAAGGTGTTTGCCGAAATATACTTTTTGCAAATATCACTAAATTCTACTCAATAAGTGTCTACAAATGCTACATATATGTCGTAGAACCAAGTTTTCTAATTTTGAATTTGACAGATTTTTCATATTTTTTTCTGTAGAAACATGATCATATTACAACCGAATGGAGCCAAAGCGATGTACACACACAGTATAACGATTATACAACTTATGCGTAATGAAAAAATATATGTCGCTTTGTCAAAGCACGGCACGTTTAGCTTTAGAAAATAAACTATTGGATGGACAAACATTTTCTTTCACTATACTCTAGTTTGCTGTAAATAAACTAAAACTGGAACGATACAGAGAAGAGAAGAGCAGCATGGCGCATGGCGTACGCCAAGAAATCCGTGAATCACTTTCTTTATATTGGACTTGACAAACTTCTGCAACTGCCTATTCCCCTTAACTAGACCTAAGCTCATAATAGTAATTTCTTATGTGAATTTTATTCATGTGGCCTTTTCTATATTATGCTCTTTTCAATAGAGTGTGATAGAAAATTTATAGCGATGAAAAGAGGGGTGGAGCAAGCTGGATTTTTCAAATTGTTTATGTTACCCACATAATGTGGGTGTAGAGAAATTGTCTATAGACTCGTTAATCGTTCCTCTCCACGGATATCTTTAGTAAAAGGCGAAAGATATATTCGTGGTTTGAAGAGAAACCAGAGTAACTCAACATGTTTTAACAATAAGTATACTACATAATATAAATATTTTCTGAGACAAGGTGTTTGCCGAAATATACTTTTTGCAAATATCACTAAATTCTACTCAATAAGTGTCTACAAATGCTACATATATGTCGTAGAACCAAGTTTTCTAATTTTGAATTTGACAGATTTTTCATATTTTTTTCTGTAGAAACATGATCATATTACAACCGAATGGAGCCAAAGCGATGTACACACACAGTATAACGATTATACAACGTATGCGTAATGAAAAAATATATGTCGCTTTGTCAAAGCACGGCACGTTTAGCTTTAGAAAATAAACTATTGGATGGACAAACATTTTCTTTCACTATACTCTAGTTTGCTGTAAATAAACTAAAACTGGAACGATACAGAGAAGAGAAGAGCAGCATGGCGCATGGCGCACGCCAAGAAATCCGTGAATCACTTTCTTTATATTGGACTTGACAAACTTCTGCAACTGCCTATTCCCCTTAACTAGACCTAAGCTCATAATAGTAATTTCTTTTGTGAATTTTATTCATGTGGCCTTTTCTATATTATGCTCTATTCAATAGAGTGTGATAGAAAATTTATAGCGATGAAAAGAGGGGTGGAGCAAGTTGGATTTTTCAAATTGTTTATGTTACCCACATAATGTGGGTGTAGAGAAATTGTCTATAGACTCGTTAATCGTTCCTCTCCACGGATATCTTTAGTAAAAGGCGAAAGATATATTCGTGGTTTGAAGAGAAACCAGAGTAACTCAACATGTTTTAACAATAAGTATACTACATAATATAAATATTTTCTGAGACAAGGTGTTTGCCGAAATATACTTTTTGCAAATATCACTAAATTCTACTCAATAAGTGTCTACAAATGCTACATATATGTCGTAGAACCAAGTTTTCTAATTTTGAATTTGACAGATTTTTCATATTTTTTTCTGTAGAAACATGATCATATTACAACCGAATGGAGCCAAAGCGATGTACACACACAGTATAACGATTATACAACTTATGCGTAATGAAAAAATATATGTCGCTTTGTCAAAGCACGGCACGTTTAGCTTTAGAAAATAAACTATTGGATGGACAAACATTTTCTTTCACTATACTCTAGTTTGCTGTAAATAAACTAAAACTGGAACG